CTTTTGCATTGTCTCCCTCAACTGAGCCGTTTTCATTGTGTCTGTATGTTTGAGTTAAACAGAGAAGATGAGTGGTGGGAGCTGGCACTCTTTTCAAGGGGAGATGTGTCTCCTTCCTCTTGCTGTCACCTCCCAGGGGGAAGAGGTTAAGGTCTGCAGGGTGCCTTCTCTCCAATACCCAGACCTGGCATTAGCTGACCTGAATCCCAGGCTTCCTGCAGGCGAGTCATGAGGCACACCAATGAATCACCTGGCTCTTCGTCTGCAATCCTTCATGGTGCTGACCACCCCATCAGAATTAAAGGAAAAAGGAAACACTATTGACAATTATAAAATGTTAAATATAGCCCAGTACATTTAAAAATGGACAATGGCAAAAACCTTGAAAAATTTTTCTTTGATGTGAATGGAGTCTTTGGCGTTTGGAAATACAATAAGATGAATTAATTGCTACTCATTACACGGCAAGTCAGAAGTTTGAATGTGCCTTCTCCCTCAGCATTAGCTGTTGCCCGACCAAAATAGGCCCTTTTGTATTTACTCCTGCTTTCTCTAATAATAAGCAAATTAGAGATCATGGCTAGGAAAATTCAAGTGCCCTCCATCCTTTCTCCAAAACCATCATAGACCTTTGTTATGTTGATCTGCTTAAGGGCTACTGCTGATAATTGCAGAGGTCATGTGAATCCAGATAGAGCAAGATTAGAAACAACATCTGCAAAATCACTTCTTAGGAGAGTATTCTGCGTTTTGTCTTTTTTCTGAAAAAGTGATTTTGCAAGCAAATTGCTATCTTTCCTCTCATGCACTATATTTTTATATTGCTGAGAAAAGTATATTTGGAGAAAAACATTTAATAACTGTCAAGAGTTTTTGACTCCATGGTCTTTTTTTTTTCTTCACTTTACATATCTTTCCTGATGTATTTGTGGACTTCCATATGAATTAATTAGTCTTTACATTCTGAAATGATGGCCCCAGAATAAATAGGAGGATATTGATTTAGTATACTGTTCTTTCAGATTTCACATATGGCCACTATAATATTGTATATGCCAGCAGGTGATCTTTTAGTACATTATCTTTAAAATTTGTTTATGGTTAATGCCTTAAAGTTATGAAATAATCGATTCCCCTGAATAACCAAAAGCTGAGGAAACAGAGGAGGACAAGCCCCATACCATTCAGAGACTGATTCGTGAAATGTCCTTGAGATTGAAGAGCACCCTCCTCCAGCCATGTACATCTGATAGGCTGCCCTCCTGCCATGGATATTACACCAAGACATTTTCCAAACATTGTGTACATTTCAGCCATAGAAAGGAGGCAGTCAGCTGAGCCCAGAGTCTTAGTGTCAGCCTTGTTCTACTTCATGAAATATGAAAACCTGTTTACTTAGTAACAATAACAGTTTGAAAGGCTTCAGGCTGAGGAGTTCATGCATGCCACAGCCTGCTGGACCCCATGAGGCTGAGGTAGTAGTGAGGCCACTGACAGCATGGGGTGCCAGGAATTGGGCAGGAAGAAAGTCGGGTGGGTGCTGAGACCTGCACCCAGGTTGGAGCTTCACCTGCCCTCGTTCTCGGTCAGATGGTTGTTTGTTCTTGCCCTCTATCGGCAGTCTTAGACCCATGCTTCCTGCTCCATACATACTGTCCACATTCCAGGGTGTGGACTTGAGTTAGGGTTTCATTGGAAAGGGGAGATTTTCCTTTTTCCCCCCACTCCCCAAACATTCAGCCTTTTGTGGCCTCATTCTTTGTAGTCTCAGGGATAGAGGGGCTTAAAATCAGTAAAAAGGAAGTTGTCCAAGCTCTTTCCTGTGACGCATTTTTCTTCTTCGTGCATGCTCATATGTACACATGCACACACCCAGAGGATTTCCTGTAATCCAAGACATCGTAGAAGATAACTCGGTCTTGACCTGAGAACAATTTTTCTAGATAAAACAGTGTGCTCATCCTTTGTAAATCTCTTCCACATCTCAGAAATACTAGTGTGAAAACATCTTAGAATGAAATTAATGTGGTGTGCAAATGTAGCATGTATTTTTTACTTTATTTAAGCTTAAGCTACTGTTGTTTGAATAGATTAACCCCCCCCCCGTTTATTCTGGGGGTGAGTGGTGTGGATGGAGTAGAATGTTTACAAGTCCAGAATATTAGATTAGAATGACACCCAGAAGCCATTTACTCAGGTGTGACACTGAGAGTTACAATTTCTTCAAAGCCAGGCATGTAGGCTGAAAATGACAATTTAGAGATCCTTCCATTGACTCTTTCAGCTCAGTGTCCTTCTGTACTCCCATTTCAGGATAAGTAGGTCTACAGCCGAGCTCTCAGTTCTGATTTCGAGATTTCCCTGGTGATACTTAATATTTGCAGGGTTACTTTAGATTTTAAGCCAAAAGTTATAATCTTCTTAATTTTACAATGTATGTCATAGATAGAAGGGAGACGCTACAGAATTAAATGAGTAATGAGTGTGTCTCCACTACAAAAGGCAAGAAATCACTGGTGTAGACATTTTAGTCCATTTCTAGAAAATTGCCTATTCTCAAATAGGTAGGTCAAGTGCAGAAAAAACCTCTACTTGAGATGAAATTTCCTCTCCGCACTTGGCTTTCTCTCTATTAGGACAGGCGGCTGAGAGCTGCCTAGATTTTACCATCCTGCTCTCTTTTCACGAGTGGTTTTTTGGCTATATGTATTAAGGTGTATTTGCTTATAGTGGAACTCACGCTCAGAGCTGCAAATACTTTTAGAACCAGAAGATCTTTAGAGAATAAAGTGGAACTCTTACCTTTGTAGATGAAGAAAATTAGTGTTAAGTGACATGTCCAAAGTAATACAGCCCATTAATGTCAGGTAGAAATCAGGTTTGGAACCAGGAGTCCAGCCTCCCCAGCAGATAGGCGTTTTATCAGCCCAGAGCAAGTTGGTGCAATAAGAAGCAATTGACTTGCTCTCCTGCTTTTGAACTTGTGTTCTCATTTGGGTACCTGGTGCAGTGCTGGGTAATAAGAGAGTCAAACCTGACTATATTGACAGAAGAAAAAGGCCATATTCTGAAGCTGTGTATCTGAAGCTACGTGAAATCAACAGCAAGGTGGTGACGTTTCTCCTTTGCTCATTGACTGATTTCTCTGTTAGAAAAGGATCAAACTTCTGTGAACATTCTGAAGACCTTTTCAATCAGCCTAGCAAAGGGAAGTGTCTCCAGCAACTCTTAAGAGAATGAGAGTGGATTGTGGAGTTGTAGGGCCTTATTTCCATTTGCACCTGGACTTAACGATTCCTGGTCACTCCACCCAAGTGTGCACAGACACACTTTGTATTTGGGTGAGCAGAACCACCCCTGTCGTCAGCATTCCATAAACACCCTCAGGCTTCATGACATACTTTTGAAATAGAGGCAAGCCCATGGCTCCTTTGTAGTTACTCTTGAGTGTGCATTAGCCAGGCAGGCCAGAAGCCTGGACTGCCATTTCCTTGGCTCCCCCAGCCTGAGCCCTGGCAAGGTCTTAAGGCTTAAAGCTCATTGGGGAACACGCCTGTGGTTACTCCTACCACCTTGGCATAGGTATCCCTTCAGGTTCAGAAACCACCTTGAGGGCACCGGTGATCTCTGATTAAGGGTTAGATGGCATGGGGGCTGAAGTCCAAGGTAACTGGTCCAACAAGAAACCCATGACCTGGTACTGATGTCAGGGTGCTCTTGACGGAGGAGGGAGTAAGTGTGGCTGAGCCGGGGTTTCCGCTCATTACACTTGGATTACCCTCAGAGGGGATGGTGGGACAGGTGGAACCATGGGACCAGCCAAGGGAAGACTGTCGGGCACTGAGATCTGTGTGTGTCCAGCTCAGTTTGGCTATAGGGTATTTGCACACACGTAGTCCGTTTATCCCAGAATTCCACTGACTTCAAAATTTGTCATTTTTCCTGGCATCTCAGTGACTGAAGTGTTCCACATCTTTTAAAAAAGTTTCTCAGAGGAAGCTAGCTTTAGGTTAGAGCATTCAGCAGATTAGCAAATGGAGCTTCATCTTGAGGAATGCCATCTGACCAGAGGCAGCAAAGGCATCACTCTAGAACTGGGGACCAGTAATCCTGCAGGTACCTGGGGCCTCTGTAGTGTCCTTCAGCTGCAACCTATGCCTTACAGATAGTCTTGACCACGTGTATCCCCAAACAGCCGGTAGATGAGGCTCATAATTTTTTATGCTGAGAGCCAGAGAAACATATAAAATATAAAAATTTATGCAAGAGTTAGGTTATTTTTCAAGGGTTAATATAAGCGTTTTTGAAAATTCACATGATGTTCCTGGCAGTTATGGGGCAAAGTGGTATCTCCTTGAGGGCACCTGATTGATCATCCTTAGAACTCCCAGTGTACTTTGTCTTGTAGGGTGTGATTATTTTCCCCTCCTCCTTTTGGCCTTGACTTTGGCACCTCAGCATGTTTATTCATCACTTTTGGGTAAATCTGCAAACACTGAAGCCACTTCTCAGCCGGTACTCAGTGTCTCCGCCTGAAGCTCCCGTTGACCTTCACTCACTGTCTGAACTCTGAATGACGGCTGTGGAGAGCACTCCTTTTACCTTGTTCCTCTTTGATGGAGTCTGGGCCTGGTAGAGATTGTACAGACCTTCTGCCAGCAGCCAGGAGCCTTGGCGTGTGTGCCAAGCGTGAGCCCGGCCTGCACCATCAGGGCCTGTCACACACCAGGGGTCTGACCGCGTCTCCATCTGTACTGGGGAAGCTGCAGAACCAGCTTGAGGGAGTTGGGAGTTGGGGTTGTTGGTAGTTGCCCTTCTAGACAGTTATCTGGGTCACACATTTCCTCTGAAATGTGGGGGGAAGAAAACCCACACTCCTGTGCATTTCATTGTACTCAAATATCATGCGTTTGTATTCATGTATATTTTTTAACTAAGAAGAAAAATAACCCTGCCTTTGTACGCAATTCTTTTAACAAATTGTTTATTGTTGTATCCAGGTAACAAGCATGGTAAGTATTTTCACCAAATTGAGCATTCTGTATTTTAGCTGTTGCTTGGCAGACTTTTTGGCTAGCTTTGTGTCATCAGCCTTGGCTTTTCTAGAAAAGACCCATTTAGGAAAAGGAGAAGCCACTTACCTGGTAGCGTCCCCTGTGTCCTCGTCTATAGAAAGAACCCGCGTGGTCTTCGACCCAGGCGGGGATCCTGAGAAAGCATGCCCCCCGCAAGCATGCTGCTTGGCCCGTCGTTGCCCGCCCGCCGCCCCGCTGCTTCTGAGCCCCCGCCACCGCCAGCTGTCTGCAGGGCCCCCAGGCTGCGCATGAGTCCAGCAGCCCCAGGACTGTGGCTCCGGGACAGCGCACACAGACGGGCCTCCCCGCCCTCTGCGGAGGGTCCTACCCCAGACCCACAACCACGCCTCTTCTCTCGCCCCTCATCCCAGCTGTGTGCTTGAAAGCAGGGCCTCTCTTTCTTTCCTTGAGTGTATTAAGTGACTGGAGACAACTCTCTTTGGAAGCTGGAAAAATAAATACATTGTCCACTCTTCTCAGAGGCTTCCCATTCTGTTGGAAAACGGATTAAGAAAAATTTTTATTTTTAAAAACCTTGCCACTGGGTGTTCTCAGTAACTGTTCAGTGTTACGGTAGATTGAGTGTGTTTTAGCCTTCTGGCTGTGTTTATTTATCCGTGCATGTTTGCTTTTCCGGCCTCTTTTGTGGCTCTGTATTTTAGTCCCCGTGCTCATGGCTGTGCTGTTTAAGCTGCCTGGTAGCCACGCACTGTGTATTAAGTGTGTGTGTCACTGTCACCTTCAAGGATCAGACTGCAAAGGATAAGGCCCTGCAGCACATGGCCGCCATGTCGTCAGCCCAGATCGTCTCGGCCACGGCCATTCACAACAAGCTGGGGCTGCCTGGGATTCCACGCCCCACCTTCCCGGGGGCGCCGGGGGTAAGTCACAACCTGGTCCTGGTAATGATGGCCCCTGGGCGTGTGGGGTTGGCATGGCCCAGCAGGAAGCCATCCACCTGGCACTTGTTAATTGGGTCAGGAGTAAGAGGGGAGCTACCACCTTGTGGTATGCTGATGCTGGGTGCAACATTGTGAAAGAAAACAGAGAGCTGGGGGTGCGGGAATGAAAAGAGAAAGAGAGAGAGGGATCTTACCTCTGAAGACATGGCCTTAAGTGTATCACCTTTGGGGCACCCATCTGGGTTGTGACCTGCCTCTTCTGCTCTATCTTTTTTCTGACCCTTGGTCTCTGTTCCTGTGTCCTCGGGTCACTTTATGGCAACTAGCCCCTAAAGGGACAAAATATTCTATTACCATTTTCATTTTGCACCTGCCAAGGGCTGAGAAGCTTAATGTTATGATCTCATTTAATTCTCACAATAATCTTAAATGCCTCTCACTGTTATTGCCATTTTACAGATGAAACAACTGAGGTTAATTAGCAACAAAACAAGGGTTTGGGTAACTTGATCATAATCACATGGACAGCAGTGTCAGGACTCAAACCCAGGGCTGTCCGACTCCCTTTACATCATGCCTCCAGCAGAGGGTCAGCAGGCACCAAAAACCTCAGAAAAGCTCACAGCAAGGGAGGTGTCTGCATTGTTGCTCAGAGCTCCTGGCCTCTTGTTCTGAGCTTTGTCTTCTCCCCATGCTGTGAGCTGTGGAGGCAGAATGTTACACGGAGTGTTTCAAAATGGAGGGGAGGGGGAGAAGGATGGCACACAGATAAAGCAGTCAAGTGAATTATTTGTGAGCCCTTGCAGTGCGCCCAGATCTCCACTGGGTGTCAGGAGAACACCTGCTGCCTGGTCCCTGCCCTCAGGGAGATTATCTGGAGAAAGAGTGAGAGGGAGTCGTAGGTTGCAGTCTTCTGCACAGCAGTGAGCATATCTGCATTTAGGGAAAGTCACTCTGCAGCTGGTGGATGATCTGAACCCACTATCTTTAGCAGGGGATGCAATGCATAGACACCCTGAACTGTGCTTTGAGGTGAACTCATAACCCTGAAGCTTCTTGCATTTTGCCTTCCAGTTCTGGCCGGGAATGATACAAACAGGGCAGCCTGGATCCTCACAAGAGTAAGTCTGAGGAGGGGCCGGCACTGACAACAAGGGGTCGTTCACAGTGCCCCCCCACCGCCCCATGCCCCCAGGGTAGAGTTAGCTACTGAGCCCAGTAGCCAGAAAGAGACTGCTCGGATCCGGGAGACGGGAGACGTGTAAACATCTCACTTCCGCTTTCGTGGGAGCAGTATTAGTGGTTACGCAGCTGGAAACAGGAAGGGGGTCTCCAGCCCTTCGTGGCTTTGAATGGCGGAGCCTGGAATCCTCCCGAAAGTGCCTGCCCGAGAGAGGGCAGCAGAGGTCACCCTATACCCATTTTATTCTGGCTTTTGCTGCAGTGGGGGCAGCTGATAACAGAGTCCTGCTGATGCTTTGAGGGCAAAGGAAGCAAGCTCAGTAAGCCGGAAGATAAGGGCAGTCTGGGCATAAAAGTAGAAAGGAAATCCTGCCCATATATTCTCAGAAGGACTTGAGCTATAGGGCCTAGAGAAGGAGAGCCTGAAACATGTTCTGAACCTTGGCTGGAAATGGCGACCGCTGACCTCAGTCTCTGCAGGGAGAGAAGAGGGGGTGAGGTAGATACGACGGCAGGGGAAAGTGAGGCTGCCTGTGTAGCTTGTCTCTTTGTCTTGTCCTGCTGAACCGGCATGAGACTTGCTGGTGTGGTCCCAGCACCCTGCTGGCCCCTCTCCGTTGGAGACATAACTGTCTCTGCGTGGTCTGTGCTACCTCCTGCAGGCAGGGACCCTTAGAGTGGGAGGACCCCAGGTGGGTCCCCAGCCCTGGGAGGCCAGGGCCTGGCCTGGGGAGTAGCTGTTGCTACAGACGTGGTTTCTGACTCTCTCTATCCTCTGTCTCCAGCGTCAAGCCCTTCGTGCAGCAGGCCTACCCCATCCAGCCAGCGGTCACAGCCCCCATTCCAGGTGAGTGTCTGCAGGACCGTATCTCTTTATTACACAGCCGCACGTCTCCCCCTCACTTGAAGAGCCCTGGACGCCCCCTTCTCGCTGCCACCCTCCTTAAGGCAGGGTTAGCCAGGACCCAGGAGGGCCACAGAGGTGTCCTCTGCCAGGTCCTCATGCCCGTCAGTCATCTCCTGAGAGCTCTTCTGATGGGTTTTTAAAGAAACAGGAAGCCTAATCACTTTCATTCATGACCCTGGGTCATCCTTGGAAGGGGTTGCTGTGGTTCCTGCCTCGTTATAAATGGGCCACATTGGGCAGTCTCAGTCTTAAGGGCAGACAGGGTTCTATTCACCCTTTCTTAGCAAAATATATTCAGTACCTAATACCCTTTCTTTAAAGGAGAGCTTCCTCGAAGCCCAACTAGAGAACATGAACCTGGCCGGCCCGCCAGCTTCCTCCCAGCCCACACACACACAGACATAGGACTGTCTCCGTTATACAGTCCCCAGCCTGAAATGCATTCATGTGTCCCTCTGCTCCAGCACCACAGAGCATCCAAGAGGCTGTTCCACAGTGCAGGTGACCACGGTCTTAGGAAGAGATGGACCAACCCAAGAAGTGCCCACGCCTCCCTGTCTCACCAGGAGACCTTTGCCAGCTCCCCTTCCACTCTTGCCTTGGTCGCCAGCAGGGCCCCTTTGTCCAGGATTAGGTGTCGTCACGCCACAGCCCTTAACCTGGGCTGGCGCTGGTTTATGAGGAGCCATGTGCATTGTGCTTCCAGGATCCTCGGTCAGCACCCACCACTGCCTGACTCAGCTCCCCCTGAACCATGGGCGGGGGGTGTTGGCCTTCCCTCCTGGGTTGTCCGTTTTGTAGGGCCCTGCCAACGCCTTAGCCCCAGGGGAGGCGAGCGTCGGGTTTAAGGTGATGATGGATTGGTATTCCAGGGTTTGAGCCTGCGTCAGCCCCAGCTCCCTCGGTCCCCGCCTGGCAGGGCCGTTCCATTGGCACAACCAAGCTCCGCCTGGTGGAATTCTCAGCTTTCCTCGAACAGCAGCGAGACCCAGACTCGGTAAGTGCGCTCAGACAGGTGTCTCGAACCCAGGATTTGCTCCTCGTCCCCTGCCCTCGGGCCTGACACATAATCCACGTGAACACAGACCTAGGGAAGAACAACCAGGCAGCCCTGTGGTTAAGAAAGTATTTCTACTGACAACTGTGTAGAACTTGAGACCTGAATAGTTGTGGATGCTCTGGACCTCAAACTCCAGGGGTTGCTGGAGCTGAAGAGAAGGACCTTAACGGGCTCTTACCTTTGATAAAATGTAACATTTCTTGAGCCCTGCCCTGTGGCTGGTACTGGGCAAAGCAACTTATAGATATGATCTCATTTTACCCTCACAAAACCCCATGAGTGTAGGTGCTGTCTGATACATGAGGAAACAGAGAGGTTAAGTAACTTCCCTGCAGTCACACAGTTAATATCTGATGGATTAGAGATTCACACTTGTGTCTTTAAAACTCAAGCCTGGACATTTAGCCAGTATTCTATACTTTCTCAAAATAGCAAGTTGTTACTTTCCGGAGAAGTAACAGGACAGTACTTGAGCAGCCTGATGTGGACTGCGATGATTAGTATTACCATTAATGCCAATAGTGTTGACATCTGGACTCCACTTGTCGTTTTTCTTCCTTCCTGTCTCCCTGCCCCGTCTAGTGCCCATCATCCCACTGCTTCTCAGCCAGGCCCACGGTCTCCCCTACATATGTGAGCCTCCCATCCTTCCCACCCAACAAGCCCAAGGCCCTTCCTTCAGTCCCACTCCTTGGCTGTGAGTATGGGCATTGCGTCTGTGTGTGGGTGAGCCCAAGGCGAAGACTGAAGAAATCATGAATTTGCCTTGGGATCTTCACCAGTTGCTTCCTATACTCTACCCCACCCCACCCCGCTGCTCTCCGGGGCTCCCAGAAGCACTTAGGTGTTGTCCTACTGACTGTGTTTTCTACCTTGCTGTCATTCTGTTACCAGGAAAAAGTGTCATGAATGCTTACCCTCTGTTGTGAGTAACTCAGACACTGAATGATTGGAGGTGACCTCTCCCAGGAGTGTTTGTACTTGAGCTCGATGGAAAGCCTCTGATGGTAGGATGGGGAGGCGCCATGGGCAGAGGGGTTTCCACCAGCCATCACCAGAGTGGAGATGCAGGAACCCACACGGGGCCCCCTGACATTTCTCTCTCTGAATTATGAATGCCGGGTGGTAGGGAAAAATAGAGCCTGCTCAAAAATTAGGGGAAAATGAAGAAAGAGGTATAGAGTAGGTCACTGGGCCCATCGAGGCAGGTACAGGAAAATGAGATTATTGAGAACAGGGGGAGAAGGCCACTGGATCACTCTTCTCAGGTGTCTTGAGCGGCTTTACAAGAAGGATGATGGGGTGAGAGCTTAAATCCCGGTCTGTGGGAGCACTGAAATAAACCAGCAGAGGATTACCTTCGTGGTTCTTGGCTTCCTCTTCTTTCCAGGAGTGTAGGTGATTCTCTGGCTGGAGGCTGGGCTTTGGCCAAGATGGTGCCCCAGCTTTCTGTACCCCACGTGTGTGAGACACCTCGCTGCTCACAGAGTACTTCGTGGTTGCTTATTTCATTTTGTCCTCAAAGTGCTGTTGAAGTAGATCCTGTTTCCCCCATTTTACAGGTGAAGAAACTGAGGCCCAGACACATTAATTGACTTAGGATATTTAGCCAATAAGTGGAAGGACCGGGAGCCCAGATCTTCTGTTTCAGTGTACTCTTCTCACTACTGTAAACCACCACCAATTGTGAAGCGCTCATGAATTATGTGCTCAGTCTGCCTGCCTCCCGTGTGAACAAATCTCTGTCTTTGCTTGTGACCATTTTTTTAGGAATAGAACTCCAAGACAGTAGGAAGCAAAAGTCCCAAGATGTTAGTTATTATCCTTGTTAAAGAGACTCAATATAATCAGAATAAAAAAAGTTTTTTAATTAAAATAGCCTAGGGCAGCCCCCTCATGGCGGCTTCCTCTTCAGTTATGAACCTGCTAGGGCCCAGGTTGCTCAGCCCTCTTTTTGTTGTTGTTAGTGCTGAGTGGGCCTCACATTGTGAATCACTGACAGATTGATTCAGTCCATTCTGTGAACATTTAGGAACATTTGCATATTCAAGGTGCTGTCCCGAGGGGGGACCGCCACTGGCTCTGCCCTGGGGGAGGGTAACATCTCATTAATTACACGTCCCCATGAAGTGTGGTGACTGCTAGGAAGGAGGAATAGTGGCTGCTGTGAGTGATGGACAGGGAACCGGGCAGTCTTCTTTGAAGAGGTAGCCCTTATGCCGAGAGGCAGGGGTGGACAGAGGCAGGGAAAGGTGTGGGAGAGGAGAATTCCAGAGGCGGTGACTCGCTGATGTGCAGAAAGCAGTAAGTGAAAGCTCGTGGATAGTTTAGAAAGGCAGGGCTCACCGAGTCCTTGGACTAGAGTCCAGAAATGTGTGCTTCATGTACACTGAGAATTGCACATAGTAATCGGGATGGTTTAAATGAATTTGATCTTCTACTGATGAATAAAAAGACCCCAACACATGACTTCAGTGGTGACAAATGTAGGAAATTAGAGAGTGAATGAATTTCCAAGTAGCTGGGAGTGAGCAAGGCCGCCCTGGACCGAGGGCTGGGCCAACGGGATTCTCCGCTGGGCTCTGTTGCTCCCCAAGTGTGTATTCGTGCCTTCTGTCCTCTTGGGAAACAGGCCAGGCAGAGAAGGGTTCAGACCTGGCCACAGCCTTTGACTAGCTGTAAGAAAGCGATCTCTCCAAGCCTCTTCTGTAGAAAGAAATAGAATTACCTACCTCATAGGGCTGTGATAAATACGGACGAAAGAAATCACTAACGAAAAGTAGTTCCCTCTGAACCTAGCTCATTCATTTATTTGTTTGGGTTTTGCCAGCACTTCCCACAGCCCCATGATTCCATTGAGCCTAAGCCATTGCAAAGAAGTAGGGAGAGCTATGTGTACCTGTCTGTATGTAGCAGACAAAGATTTGGAGACTCCAAAGTTGGATTTGTTTACGACCCTTAATTATCTGTCCCTTTGTAAGCTTCCTGAACAAATTAGCATGGTTAATGTTTGATGTTAAATTTTAAGGATTGTATATCCAAATTTGTTTAAATGTACCAGCTAAATTTAGTTTAGATGACAACTTTACATTTTCCTATAGTTGGAACAAAAATATAGTAAAATTAAAGTCTGAGAAGCCACCAAAAAGTCTGAGAGCCAAACAAAAAACCAAATCCCATTCACATAGCACTGATTTTTTTCAGTGTGACCTCGGACCTCAAGGGCCTTTACATGTTCCTTGTAACAGCACCCTATGTTTGCAAAATAAAGCACATAGGAGATTTGTCAGAATGCAATAATTTTGTTAATCCTCCCCCCTTTCAACTAGTCAACTATCTCTCTTAGAACCAGCCATTCTGGAAATTCACTCCTCCGTTTCCACAGGTGTCACCTTTGCCACCACTATAGATTCTTCACGACTCTGCCACCCCTACCAGTGGTAGTGCCAGTGTGGTGATGGCCAACATTGTATTATGTTACTCAGTCCTGTGACATAGCCTGCCCAGTGTTAGGCAACCCGCTGACATTGGAAGTGGGGTTAAAATCCAGGTCTGTTGACTCCACATCCTGAGATTTTAAGCAAGGTTGTTGGCTCTATTTGTATTTGCTGAGTACCTATTTTTTTGTAGGCTGCGCCTGGCTATAGTCTACAAGGAGCTAAAGGAAGAATAATTCAGGGGATGAGCGCCCCCTGCTGGCTCTGGATCATGTGTAAGCCAGACATTTCCTCAAGTCGTGGTTGTTTATCTTGGAGAGCCAGCAAGTCAGTCCCTCTGTTACCTTTGGCTCCAACAGAAGCTAAGAGAACAGCAGAGGCTGAAGAAAGGAAAATCTTAAAAACAAAGACTATTTTAGAAGTGGTCAGTAATGCTTGAAAATATACTTTCTACATGATTTCAGTGTTGCATGTCAAAGGACTTTGAGCGTTAAGTTTAAGATCCCACACCCAGGGTGGGCTTTTTCAAACTACCTCGCCCATTATCAGGGCCCAGTTCCTGGAGACCGAGTTCAGCAGCTGCTGCTTTAGACAGATGAAAACCCGGCCTTGGTGAGCTGTAGCCTGGATCCTGTGGGCGCATGGGGAATGGTTTTCCTGATCCAGCCTGATGGAATCCCTCTGCCCCCTCCCTGGGGCGTGGCAGGTTCCTCTAGCCCCCCTCCCTCTGCAGCTCAGCCACATCCTGCCTTCCAGCTGGCACACCGCCAGTTGAGACTTCCCAGGCAAACGTTGTGTGTTCAATGCCTGTCGTGTTCCGGATATAAGAACAAGCAGGGCTGTGAACAGGAAGGAGCATGTGAGGGTTCCGTGAGGGAGGAGTTACACAGCCAGAGAAGCCTTGAGGTGGAGAGGGCGGGACAGGAGGTCATTCTCTTTAGATGTCGGAGAAGCACTGTCTTGGGGAAGAAGAAGAGTCCTGTGATGTGGTGCAGGAGCAGACCTGAGCAGCGAGGGCACACCTCAGCTCACCTAGTCCTAGCCGTCCTGAGCCGTGTTACACGCGCTGCATGCCAGACATTTGACACAGGTATTGTCCTTACGGCGAGTCCACCAGCAGCAGGACAGAGGCTCAGAAACAGTAGGGTGCATTGTCCAGTTCCACCGCCTGGAAGCGGCTGTGCCAAGATTGGGCTCCACTTTGTATTCTTAGGCAGGTCACTGTACTTTTGAAGAAATAAAAAAATTACTCAAACTTGAGAACGGCTGCCCTTCAAAGTCTGAGCTCCCCGAGCATGGCTGGATGTAGCAGGGCCCTTTATGTTGGGGCAGCCAGTGAAGGAAGGTGATCGGGACATTTGGAGAAAGAGGAGAGTGAGGACACTTGATTTGGGCTCCGAGGAAGGAGAGAATTCCTAAAGGGTGCCCAAGCGTGGAAAATGGCAGGTCCTCAACCAGACGGCAAGGAGTTTTGCTGCCCGGAGTGTCCCGGCCCTTAAT